GCTGCAGTAAAATAAAATGTAGTACCAAACTTTGGTGGTCAGTGGTTAACAAGGCAGCACACTTACAGTAGTTTATAGTTAAATTACAGGGATAAACAAAACAGTATATAATACCCAATGGACAGACCACAGATTTGTAAAAGCAGCATGAAAACTTTCACTATGATTTTCTTCCCCTTTCCCCCTTCAGATGATTATTGAGCAGTTGGAGCATGAGAGGAATTTGATGGCTGACACTATTGCAGAAAAGATGCAAGACCACCAGAACCTTCTGCAGGTCAGGATGGACCTGGGCATGGAGGTGGCTTCCTACAGGTAATACACTCATGTATTTTGTCTTATTTTTACATTTGTATTTGTTATAGTAGGGAAAACACTGCATGATAGCACCCTAAAACTCAAGCTGCTAAATGGAATTCAGCCCTCTTTATTTGTATTATTTACACAAGTGCTTTATTGTAGATTCTGGAAATTAAATGTACTTTAAAGTGTGAGTATGAAAACCAAGCAAGCCCCCTCAGAAATGTTTTGTTTCAGTAGTTTTCTTTTTCTTTTGTAAATTAAGAAATAACTAGTATGTGAATAGTTACATCCTCCTTTTTAGTGATATTTCCATGCTTTTAAGTTGACTTTGTTTGACCAGCTGCCACTACTTGAAGTCAATCTTAGCTTAATTAGTGATTTCATTAAACACAAATAGAAAGCGGCTGCCCGGCTGACCACACTAAGTAATCTGAACTTTACTTAGATAAACTGTAGTAGCTCTGACATTTTACAAATACTTCCATGACTAACCATACAATTAATAAGTTGTTAAAACTTTCTCTCTCGTTTAAGTTTTAAGTGTTTATTATGGGTTATTTATATCTGGCATTTTAAATCCTGTCTAGCCTTCTACTCCTAACACAGCGGGTCACATACTAACAGACCATTTTTACTGAAAGTTATTTATAAACAGTTTATGCACCATAATGTAACATTCAGTAATTTAGCGCCCCCCCTACAGTTTTAGAGTGCAATGTACACCGCTACACACCGCTGTCGTTGTCCATTCACCCGCTACAGTTCACGCATGTCACAGGCGCCAACTACTCCCCCATTCACACACAAATACATCATGACCTCTTACCTGATATTGTAAGACATCTTTACAAGTTTGAATCCTTTTTCAGGAAACTACAATGCTAACAGTATTGAGCCATCCCCCATGTAGTGCTTAGGACTATCTGCTCCACTCTGTCTCTTTATGGCAGACGATATGCAGGCAAACATGGTTTGTTATGAAGTTTTGGAATAGACAGAATGTTTTCTCAGAGACGAGGCAGCGGTATGTCGTTTTGTGTGTGTCACAAGTCAGCTTTTGCTTTGGGATTCGTGGGGAAATGTGGTCCGCCCCCGTTGTACTGTTATTTTTAGGTCAGTCTTTCGGAAGGCGGTCTCCGGAGAGGTTGTTCCTTTTCAAGGCACGTTGGTTTGCTGTTTTACTTTTTTTTTAGGCATAGCCAAGGATAGGTGAGCTGCTAAAGCTAATTATTACAAGGTCTTTATCACATGACATTGGCCCTTTATGATTTTGATGATTACCACCCTATATGGCCAGGTCCTGGGTCCATACTTTCTTGTAAGCCTGTTGCGTTTAGTTTGAGGGGGCTGAGATGGCAGATCTGAATGATGTACACCGTCTCGTGAGGTATTTGTCTTTGGTCTTTTAAATACTATATTGGGTAAAACAAATTGAATAGGAGTTATCCTCCTATTCAATTTATTTTCAGAGATACTGTATATAATGTCTTATTTACCCTCGTCTTTAAATATGTTTCTTTTATTTGTTCAGGGCTCTCCTGGAAGGTGAGAGAATGGATCTGCAAGACACTCGTAGGAGGGTGACTCCACAGCAACGAGAAAGAATAATAGGTAACGTATTTCAAATGATTTATAGTTGTGACATGTTGCTCACTTAACCTTATTGTCTAGAAATAGTTTGACATTTTAGCAATATACTCTTGCTAATAGTTACATGAGAAGATCAATACCACTCTCATTTGAGATTGGTTTGGATCTTCTTATCTCTTACCAAGAAAGCAAATAAGCGTAATTCCAAAATGTTCAAAGTATTCCTTTAAGTATCTACCTAAATATTCATTCATTTCCTGTCTCAGATATAAGGATGCCTGCTCTGCCCTACACTCAAAGAGCTTCCACCTCAACCAGCAGACAACACACAAATACCAGGTATACACCGCCAACTTCAAACCTGACAAGATCTCCTCTGCCTTCCTCTGGATCCACGAGTCCCTCCAGGGTCATTCCTATTTCAGTTGCAGCCAGAGCTCGGCATCAGAGTCCTGCATCTAGAAGGGACATGATCTCATTCACCAAATCTCGGGCTTCCACCCCTGCGACCACGACCACCTCTGTCACCAAAGATAAACCGACAAGCCAGAGTGAATACCAAATGAAACAACATGTCCAGAAAACAGAAGTAGAGGAAAACACTGATGAGATCAAAAAGATGGAGGATCAAGCCAGTCACAAGACTTCCTCTTCTACTGATACCAGATCAGTGAGGGTGGTGTCCCCGCAAATGATGAGCCTGAGCAAGAAAACTGAGGCAGAAAACAAAAAGCAAGTGTCAGATGAAAAAGAGAAAGATGATGACGAATGGAAAACAGTGTCTACAATTGTCCCTATTGAGAGAAAGATTTTAAATTCTGTGTCTGTAGAGGAGATTATTGAGAAGGCGATGAGACCAGAAGGTTTGGAAGCTAGGGTTAGCTCCCCTGGAGAATCCCAGCTAAGCTACCATGTGGAGAAAACTGAGCAGGAAGATGGAACAACTAAGACACAGATTGTGTTGGTGTCCAAAGTGGAAGAAGAGCTTGATTTGTCCGAGGACTCTGTACTGGAGGATTTACTGAGCCAAGGGATTATGAAGGTGTCACTGGAAGATATCAAGGACACACCAACAGGAAGCATGATCCAGAACTTGCTGAGTGGCCTGCAGGCAAGTGGAAACTTGGAAAATAAGTCTGTCAATGTGGAAATCATTGAGGAACCGGTGGACTCTTACGATGATGAGGATCTTGAGTTTGAGTCGAGATCTACTTTTTATGAGCCCTCCTCAACATATTTTCAAATTGAGGAGCTAGAAAATATCCCTCATGAGGCTCAAGTTCCGAGGAGTGACCGTGAGGAGGTGACCGATCACTTCAAAGGTGGGTTCGATGTCCGGGAGGTTTCTAGACAGAGTGAATCTTCATATTTCTCCCATGAAGAGCCAGATGAGTACTTTGTCTCCACACCAGATGATAATCTTTCTGAAATCGACGACGGTGGTGGCATCACCTCATATGGACATTATGGTATGGTAGATGACCTGTCAGATGAGAGGTATTACCAGGACGAAGGTCTTCCATCCAAAAGAGGGATTGTAGAGGAAAGTGACGAACACCAGTTCATGTCAGATGATCACTCATTTGTCAAGGATAGTTTTCCAGAGTGCATCATTGAAGAGGAGGTTTGCGTCTCCCCTGTAGTGCAGGAGTCAATGCTGGAGTTCCTGAGGGAGGACTCTTTGGAGCCCAGAGAGCAGCTAAAGGGAGCTCTGGAGAAGCTACAAAGCTCAGTGTCAGGTCCACTGAAGGAGGAGTTGGCTTTCCTCTCAAAAGTGAATAGCGATGGTTCACAGAATGTGGAAGTCAAAAAGGTCACACAGTCAAGTGACAACGGCAACATGACTATAGTTGCAGAGCTCAACGTCTCGCAAAGTCTGGAAGACTCTGGGCTGCTGGAGGCAGAAGGTGATATGTCTGAAGAGCAGATCATGGCAGTGCTCAGATCTTCTAACCCGGGGCTTGAGAAAGCCTTCCAGGGGGGGGCAGGAGGGGGATACAGCTTTAGAGGCTCCAAAGAAGAGGATTTTGTTACTGGTGAAGAGTTTGAAGGCTTTACTAGCGAAGGAGGCTTTTCATCTGAAGTCACTGAGAAACACATCAAACTGGGCCCATCAGAAAAGTCCTTCACCTTCCAGATGGACGTAGAGGGCAGCCATGCTGAGGCCACCTCAGAGCAGGAGCTGCTCTCTCAGGCCGGGCACAGCCCAGTGAAGATCTCTCATCAGAAAAAAGTTGCAACTCTCTACCTTGAAAGGCCGACAGATGATTAACAAACTAAGTGCTTACCAATGCTACTATTTCAAGTGCAGCGGTCGTTTTAACACAGCAGTCCACACACATAGCATTAATGCAGCAGACACTATAATAATGATCTAAGGCTTTGCAGTTAAACATATATCAGATTGATTTTGGTGAGCTCTTATACTGATTAATTTCAATTATTTAGTAACAATGGCCGGACTTACACATGTTTTTATGGTAATACAATTTGCAATATTACTATAAAAAAAACAGCATGGGTCCTGATCCTCTTCCGCATTGATATTTGTTAACAGTTAATACAGAATGCCGTTTATTATCAAAGATGTTCATTTATTCTCTCTAGATTTCTATATTTTTGTACTGACCCTTGCTGCACATCTTAAACTGCCCGTTCTGCAGTTTACAACTCCCCACATCAAGCCAACAAAATGTTGGAGTTCTGAGTTGCTGTGAACTGTTTGCTGATTGAAGCTTTCATTCTTTTTTTTTTACTTTGGCTCGGCTGCCAGATGAAATGGTTTTAGTATACTGCATCCTGGAACACAGGCGTTTTTTTTGAAGCAGTGGTCAGTGACGTGTGCAGCATATAGTGAAGCTTGGAGCTGAGAATGGTATATAGTGTTGACAAAAAGAGGGTAGCTTGTCTTAAGAAACTTTGCAAGTCTGAAAGCTGCGATTGAAGTGTGTTGTATGTGACACTTAAAAGTGACTTTGAAGTAAATAACTGTCAGTTATTTTAAGAAGATTTAGCTTTACTCACAACTAATGGCAAATGTTGACTAATTAGAACAAAAATGTTGCCTAATATACAACCAAAGCCTAGTTACATTATCAATGTAATCTTTGTGGAATGGGTTTGTGAAATGTGTCTTTACATGGTGTGTGTCAGTATCTTACATTTCTAATTCTACAACAGCAAACATGTAGTTAGGGAGCTGGGAACTTATAATGGCAAATCATACCATTTAGAACACTAAAATAGGGTTGTCAATTTTAGAGGGTGAAATACTAAGATGAAAGGACGGAGTAAAAGAAATGTAATTAATTAAAAAGGAAACAGTGATAGTGTTGAACATATAATCACATGTAGTTTGATGTACAGTATGTCTTGTCTGGACGCCTTTTGGCTCGTAAGCATTCGTTGGCGTCACAGTGTTGACAGGAAGGATTCACCTTTGCTCGTACATACGTGTGTCCATGACCGTGAGTGACTATTTTTGGATCAGCAGCTTAGCGGCATTGACTGCTCATTAGGTTTTGTTGTGTGGCGTACTAGTTGCAGAGGCAGAAATGGTCCACTATGATTACAGTTTAGTCGTGCACATTTGTCTAAGTGTCTGCAAAATGTACACTTTGTAACTATTTAGTCATTTCTTCACAGGTTGGCTTCTTGGCACTATTATGTTAAAGAAATGTGCAAAAACACAAAGTTAAGCATGAATGCTTAATAATTATGTTAATTTTTAGAAATACTCTGGATGAAACTTCAATTAAAAAGACTTGCATTTAAGTGCCCAGAGACAGCATATTTCCATACATTTTGCAAACTGCAGTAATTGAAATAAAATATGTACATCAGTGCACTTAACTTGTGGCTTAATTAGGAATATGTGCATCTATGTACAAAGTGTCATCTGGATAATGTGCCATTTCTTTGTATTCAAATGTTTTACATCAGCATACAGAACATGTATTGATATATAAAGAAAGTTTAATGAGTCAAATGTTCAATATATGTTATTAAAACATCATTGCTTTTATTGACATAATGATTTATATTTAACAATTGTCATTATTGCTTATTGGTGAAAAAGGTTCCAGCCCTTATTTGGAAATTGATTAACACAATTAAAATCTATTGTGAGTATGATTTCTGAGTGTGGGTATTTCTTCAAAGCTTACTTATATCACCAATGTTACTCAATATCACGTTATTCCAGTAGATATATCAAGTCACTAAAGCTCATTTTCAACATTGGTAGCTGCCTGTGTTATTATATACAGTAAAAGCAAGACAAACTTTTTAAATACAAATATCAGTAGACAAATATCCGTTCCAAACCTGCATTGTTCTGACAAAATAATCAACTATTCACATTTTAGGGGTCAGACATTGAGTGTCCATCATTGCCAGCGGATGGTGCAACTGACTGTGTCTGATTTGTTTTCCTTCTACCTCGCCTCTTCTGTCTCTCAGCCATCTCGGGGGCTCTGCAGAACATACATCAACATACTGAAACATGGGTCTGTTATTTCAATGCATTCCTCTAACCTAAAAGCATTCTCTTATTGTAAAATCAGTTCATAGGAAATGTATCACATATGATTTAAACTCTAAATATTTCAGAAGATTTACCGGGCCAGCATGTCCACAGCTTTTTGTGTAGCTTTTGTCTTCTTGTGCTGAGAACCGTACAACAAACTCTGGATCTCCAGGCACTGAAATTTGAAATAAAAACAGTTACGACAGCAGAATAAGTGCTCAGTGGAAGTTCAGAAGTGCAACTCATACTTGAAGGGACACTTAACACTTCCTTCCTAGCAACATTTAAATACACCAAACACCCCAAAATAACTACTGTTGCAGCCAAAGGTTTAGATAACACCTGTGCTGACCACTCAACATGAGGGGGATCTGATAGATTTAGGAATCACCAACCCATGAACCTGAGGAGATTAACTCAACTTTAAGACCTCCTACTTTTTTCTGATCCAATCAAATAAGAGGAAACTCAAGAACTTCTAATCTCGACATCAGAAAATATTGCGTTATTTAACAGAACCCAGAAAAGTTAATCACAAACACAGGCATTTAATAACATTGCGCTCAAATAATTGTGCAATGGACTTTGAAAAAAGCCTGCTTGTCATTTCACCATTTACCATAAATAACAAGATGTGAAGACAGTTTTATAAAAAATATGGAAAGAGAAAAGTGTCTCTCTTCACCAGGCAAAGTGAAAACACTCTGTAACCTGGAACAGATCCATGTGGCCTCCTGAATGTTTTTGCTGTTGCTAAGGTTGATGTAATGGAAGGTCTTTTTTTCCCAAAGCACTACAGTTGAAAGGGAATATGTGAAGTGTGTGTCTGTGTGTGCCATTGTTCGCTGTGTTTTTTTAGTTGATCATATGTTCTGTATTTGCTGTATGAGCCAGGTTTCCTTTGGAAAAACAAAGTTTCTTAATCAGAGTGCAGATGGTTTCATGTTGACATATCTGCTCTGCGTCATTGTGCTTCAGAAAGGTTAGCAGCATTGTGGGTGTAGAGAGAGTCCTGATATACCCTGTCCAAGACCCCCCTGCACTGGCATCTTAGATGTCAAAACAAAACAACATAGCAACCAGGCCCCTTTTACTTAGAGGCATGTTGTTACTAGTACCAAGAAACCCCCATTCACTGGTGTATTTTAGTATATTTGATGAGCGGCAGAACTGAGCTCATATGGAAAACATATGCAGTGCTACAGTATGTGAAAAACAAAAAACACATTACATAAGGAATAAAGTAACAGAGGAGATACATGGTGAAAGGCTGCTGTGTTTTCAGTGCATGTGTGTTGAAATACATAGGAATGTCACTGTTGTTTCGAAGGACATAATGCCATGCCCTCACTAATTGGGGTCAGTGTCCCTTTAATTGACAGCAGTTAGCAAACAGCCAAAGTTGTGTTGCCCATCTGTCCGTCTCCATCCAGAACGAGGAAACACAAAGTCCCTGTGTGTGATATTTTACACCAGAGACAGCAGCTCTGCACACTGCACTCTTCCAATATTAGAACACCACTGATAGCACTGAGCTTCAGGGAGGATGTTAGAAATAGACCGGGACTCTTTGTGAGTATATTTTGCACTGGCCTCTCACTGGTTTAGATGGACACACCTGCTGACTCCTTGACTTTTATTAAACCCTCCTAAAGAATCTGGCAGGGACAATGTCATGTTACCCCATGCAGTATTTATAATATGCACTTACAGGTTGTATCCAAGCAGGCTAACATTAGTTTTTGTGTTATGTAATTTGATATTACCTTTGTCATGGTCCTATGGGCCTGCTTCACCCTGCCCTCACTCATCTCTACACTTCCTATCAGCTGAAGGGTGTCTGCTACCCCAGCACTCAGATCACCAAAAGTAGATCTCTTTGTCGCAAGAGAAGCTCTCTGGATCTCCACACATCTCTGAAATGGAACATTGAAAATAGGTTAATCATCACTTTCCGGGTTAGCAGGTGGAATACATACCCTGACCTTAATAGACTTTCCATTGTGTGGCTCTTTAAACATAGAGGTGTAATTGTAAGTGTGTGTATGTTTGTGTGTAACCTCTTGCTGGTCACTGAGGAGGAGGAAACGACAGAAATCATCCTGGGCCGTGAGAAAGGCAGGATCCTGAGGGCCTGCACAGTGTTTGTACGCACTTAGACTCTGCTCAAAGTAGAGACCTGCAGAGTCTGAAACATCACAGGGAAGAACATACAAACTATGCAGGTTAACTTCAATGGTAGCAATATTTGAGAGAATAAATGAAAATATAATACTGCCATAGAATCCATGCAACATGATTTTTTTTTAAATAGATTTTGTTACTTTTGAGATGCTTCACATTGCTACCATTAGCCAAGAAACAGCTGAAATGGGTAAATCATAATGGCTTGAATGAACCTGGGTAAGTGTTAAATGAGGCTATTATAAGTGGGGTTTCCTTAACATCAGCTTAAAGAATGTCACAAAAGGGAAGACTAATTAACCCCTTCTTGCATATTGCCCAGGCCTATAGCATAAACTCACCATTGTGACGGGGCTCTGCTGCAGCAGAAAGGAGGAGAGCCAGGCTGTGGCAGATCTGAGCCCCCTCCAGCTCCTCTGGGCTGTGACTCATAGCAATGGCATGAGCCTAGCAGAAACACCCACATGAAAAAAGATATCACATATCACCAAATAAGAGGTGTTGGAACATTACCTAACAACAAGACATGGCCCCACAACAAGAATTCTTCCTCTGTTTATATACATTGTGCTGTTTGAGTGATATGCCCCTTGCCTTGGAGAGATGCTCTATGGCTCGGTCCAAATGACCTTTGTCCTGTTCGATGGCAGCCATGTCCCTGTAGACGGAACATGTCTTCTCTGGCTTACCACACTCCTTCAGCACTTGCAGAGACTTCTCACACTGCCTTAATGCATCCTCTGGTCTGTTCTGTCTCCTATAGACCCTATAGAGCAGAATGGACATACAAATGGAATGACTGTCAGATACTGAAAGACAAACACAATGACAGTGACCAGTTCAGCCCACTATAAAAGGCAGGAGGGCAGAGTTATGATAGATAGGGTACTCTTCAAGTAGTTAGACTGCATTCCTGTGTGTGAAAACACCTGCTCTGCCAAAGTGTACTTGACTGTTACACAGAAACATTACATACAGTATGCTATTTATAACACTCTGTATTTATTATTTAGTGTACAGTATATACCCACAAGCCTTTTACTTCATTATCCTGCTTTATATTATAACAAGTAACGGCTTGAGCTTCAGCCAAAACAGGGCTCTGCAGAGTGGTGAAGGCTTTTTGGCTGATGGCTGCATTTGAAGCCTGTTGTACTGCAGACTATAAAAGGGAAAGCTTGCACATTGACCTTTTAATTGTATCCTTATATGTGTCTCTAACAGTCTCAACTAGTTCTTAACACCCTTACTTTACCTACATCTTCTCGGACTCTGACAAACTGCTCCTGCAGTGTTAAGAGTCTCAATGTCCAAATAAGGGGATGGGAACCACTAAAGCAAATGAATGAAGATTAGAGCATGGTCCTTAATGGGACAACGGTTGCTCAGAGTTCTACATATTTAACAAGATCTGTTAGAACAACATGTTTTGAGTCTACAGAGTATCATGGTGAGAGAGGATGAGACGATGGCTGCAAGGACTCTGGATAGCATCAGGCTACTCTACTAACAGCTGAAACCATCGAATGGACTCTAAAGGTAATTTATCTCTCCTGTTGTGGGGGTGGTCTTTCTCAAAGGGCACACCACTCACTAAGTAAAATCTCTTCCTACATTGTTGTCACACTGCAGAACAGGAAACCCCCTGCTCACAAATTTAAACTGCAAACTCCACTGAGTATAGTTGTATGTACTATCTGAACGGCTTATATGGGTTTCATGCAATTAGATTTAATTTTGTATCCAGCAGGCCCAGTACTGAGTGCATGCAGTATATTGAAGCTGGGCAGCCTACGTGGGAACCTAAAGTCTAAGCTCGATCCTATGATGTCATGCTCACATCCCAAGCCCACATGAATCTGGGTATTCATGGGTAAATGTTTAAATGTCAGCAGCACATGGTACATAAACACTGTGATGGCTCATTACTGAACACTTTCCATGAATCCATGATTATCCTAACATGCTATGATGGATGTCAGGAGTGCCCCACCTATACTGTATGTATTCATAGGGCAGGAACTTGGGATCCTTTTTGGGCAGCAGTGATGGCTGAATCGGAGCTGCATTAAAGAATGGCTTCAGTCCTGCCATTCTGCCTGCATGGACAAACAGAGACAATCCCCCTCTATCCTCTCATTCACTTTGCATCCTAACGCATTTCCTGGCAGGAGGGGAATATGCCACATCCCACTGAAAATCTACTAAGAGTCAACAGGGCAGTGAATTCATATAATAGGGATTTGTACACGTGTTGCCAAGCTAGCCACACTGCCTTGTTTTGTAAAAGTTTCCAGGACATAGTTGACGTAAGTTGCTCAGGGCTTTCACTGGGAAAAATCATACTGTAAGGCCAAGCCGAAGTAAAAGACAGCTTGCTCCAAAAGCAAATCTCTGTGGTATGTTGATGTGGTTAAAGGACTATAGAGAATATATGAAATAAAAAACTACCTGTTCAGTCTGGGGTAGTTATTGTCAATCACACCATTTAAACCCCTGCTGGTTTTAAAATACCTTTTTGGAAAGAATACAAGCAGATACTGGACCTCAAGCATAGGAATACCTCTGGAGTTTGGCTATTCTGTGTGTTAAAACCGTGTCTGTGAATCGTGGCAATGGCATACATTAACAGCAATGCAACAGCTTAAACGGAAACATTGGCAAAAAGCTGGTTAACATAGAGTGCATTTCAATTGAAAGGATGTATGATAATTTAGGGTGGACAGATTATTGGAAGATTTTATGTATCACTCTAAACATGTTTAATTCAATTAAAACTGTCAAGTAAGATGTAGATTTATGATAGCAGTTAGAAAGAGTTGAAGAGCATGACAACACAAAGAAACAAACACACAGACAGACAGAAACACACACTCAACAGATCTGAACCTAACAATACATATTCCATCTGCAGCTGATCATAGGTGCACACCTTGAGTGTGAATCTAAAACCGAACTGGATGTTTGGACGAGGACCTATAGCAGAGTTGAGTTGGCTTTGGTAGGAACATTCCCCTCCATCACAACAGTGTTGACTGACGGAGCTTTAGACGCATGCCAAATTCTTAGTCATCCCCCAACAAAAGAGATTTAGCAAGCTTACACATCAGCCAGAGTTTGCACATTTTTTCAATTACACACATTGTGTAAACAAACTATGACTCTCTGAAACAGAACAAGATGGCATAATTTACAAATTCCTATTTGTGTAGCTCACCTCAGCTGCTGATAGGGTTTGTTTACTCTAAATGCTACAGGAGTAATGCCCCAGTTTACCTAGCAACAGCATTTTCAAAACAATGGATCCTACTTACAAAGCGTACCTGTAAGATGGGGGCCCCTGTATAAACACTGTTTTTGCTTGGATACTTGTTAAACAGTCTGAAAACATTGTTCTCCTCACAAAAACAATAACTCTGAAATGTAAGGTCACAGGGCTTTATAGCACAGTCATTGTAAGCTAATAAAATGTTTTATATTTTGAGATAGGACTGTATTTTCAGTTTGACAGGTTTTGCAATTTCACAAAGGTTAGTTACTCATTTGTAAATTATAACATTCACATACAAGGCTTAACAGGATACAAATACATTCATGGGGTGACCTTAACCCAGGTAAAGTTATACTTCATTTCCTGGCCTAATTTTACACCCACAGTGATCTAAACTGCCAACTGGCTGCTATTTTTATTTGCCAGGCTAAACAGTCTCTGAACAGATCACAGTCCCAGAACAGTCCCACACTTGAGGTAAAGGTGTCCTCACCATGATCCACTAAGTCTTTAATCTTCTCCTGAGCATGTAGTATTACATTTGAGACCTCTGTTGTCAATACCACAACTAGGTTACAAATGCATTTGTAAAAAGGTGGACACAAATCAATAATATTGTAATGGTACTCAGCGTGAAGTAAACAAAGCGGCTTACATTTAACTGAGAATTTAATGGCTATAGAAAAAAATCAACCAGTCAACCAGACTGTTAATGCAATGTCCAAGAGGGGTATGTGTGGTGAGGGGAGTTAATAATTAAAGAGGGAGAGAAAGGAAAAAAGGAAGAAAGAATAAGGAGAAATGCTTTTATAAAAGAGTGCCTCTAGTTGAGCAGTGACTGGCTGAGAGGATACCAGAAACGTCTCCACCCAGCATCAACACACCCACGCTGACTGCTGAGTAGAATGGACAACCACAAGGGGAAATCCTGACTTTTAAATAATGTTGTTTTCACTAGCATGACTTAGTGAGGAAATAATACAAAAACCACGTAAAAGGTTGATTTTTTTGCAAAATACAGGAATGTGTCGCCATCTTGTGGCCATATTTAAAAGTGAAATGCTGCATTTGAGAATTATGAGTTTGTTATGAATCCCCTCTGTAGATATCAAGTTGTTTGGCTCAGCTTATATTTCATACAATAGGATGCAATGCATCTTTTAATCTAAAATTACCACTTTTCTATTTTGCAAGATATCTGCTGAAATAAATGTAATGCTACTGTACCTGGATAGACCAGTGGAGATTTCCAGCTCAGTCCTCATCTTCTCTTCCTGGTTGATGCCACCCTGTGGATGAAGCTCCTCAAGAACTTCTTCTGCCTCAAGAAAAGAGGATTGTGCCTCCTCGAGAGTTGAAAAGAGTCAAGGAACTATTTCGTTTTATCCTGATATGATACTTCAGTCAATCACATACATTATTGCAAAACCCTTCAGGGCAAGGATATTTGACTGTCAGAAGTGAAGCGCCTCCCTGAATGAGGTGTATGTTCAAAAGACACAGGAGAACCTCATGCTTTTCACCTCTGCCAGAGGAGATGGAGGAGCAGAAAGGAAGCAGATCTCTGGCCAGGGCAGAGTGCTCCTGGGCCTGCAGTCCCCAGCCTGAGGGAACAAAGCAACCATAAGGGATTGTAAATTGAACAGCATGCAAACTCTAAATCTCAACATTATCCACAATTACCTAACATTAGATGGTCATATGAAACATGACTCATGTTTCACCCATCTCAATATAAACCATGGGCATCTACATAGATTCATAAGTCTGGTGTGAAGTGTGACATCTTGAAAAATGGCCTCCTACTTTGCCTTTTCAACCAAATATGTGGCACCTGTCTAAGGTAATATAGCAGGCTCCTGCTTTATAGGTGAATCAGGACTATGGTTTGTGTAAGTGACAACTCTTTGAAAATCAATTTCATAATAAAACTTTAAATGTAGGCCTACTAACAGTATTACAATTACCGTTGAATTGGAAATATGCTTGAGCCAGTCTGGCATGGGCCTGGGCTACTTTCAGATGTCCATCCCCATAAACCAGCCTAGTCAAAGCCACACAACGCACCAGGTCCTGTATGCAAGCATCAAACTGAACAGATACAGTAAAAACTGTTAATAAGCATCAAATTACTTCAATCACTGCATTTGAAACTATTTAAAAATATTTCTCGGTATCAAACGTATTTTCAATTGACTGATAAACAATTTATCAATAGATCAAATACATTTAAATGTAAAGCTCAATATCAATATCAATATCAACTGTGAGTGCCGGTTGATTCATATGAGTATCCTGTTTTGTTGTTGTTTTGTTTAACATCTTAATTATGTTAACTGCAAGTCCTTATCCTAGTTTTAAAAAAACGTGATACTCTGAAACTCTGATAGAAACCAAGATGCTGCTAAATGTTTACATCTTAACCACCTTTCTGTTCATTCTCTACTGATAAATAAAATAATGCCTCATACACACTTGCACATACTGTAGATGGCCAGAAACACCTGGATACTTGTATTGTATAGGAATAATCAGGTTTCCCTTTGAAGAATCCCAGTGTGTGGTATAATTGACCCATTACTGTACTGTACCCACCTCTTGGTTGTCTTCACAGGCCTGAGCTCGTCTGTTGAAGTGTTTGAGCTTTTCTTCAGGTGCCATCATAATAAATTCCTTCTTAGCATATCCTGTTTGTGATGCGTTCAACACATCTGAGTAACAGGAAGGAGATGCATTCACGCCCCTGCTGGTGCTTCCCATGCTTTCAGGGGATCTACAAGTTTGGTCAGGTACAAATAAAATACATTATTCAAAAGATGGGCGAACATTTGTGGGACACCGATGTGTGTGGAATGAAAGCGGGGTCATGACACCCACAAAGTAACCCTCAACTAATTCCTTCAGAAAAGCCTTACTGTTTTGGACTTGTTTGGAAGTAAGAAGCTAACGTTAGCCTACCATCAACATTTACCAGTGGTCATCAACAGAAGCACGAACGTTAGCTTAGCTAAGAAGAAATCACTTACTCAGCTGGAGACTCGGAGGAGTTGGGTCTTGTTTTTGTCATTGCGTTATAATCAGCCATATTTCAACTCAATCGACGTAACGTTACCGCGCCATCAGCCGTTTGTGTATTTTCCGGTTTTTTGTTTCCTTGGTTACACTCTCTTTATACATCCATGGCTACACCGGCTAGCGTGACTTACTGCTGCTGCTCTGCCGCTTTAAATGTTTCATTATCATAGCATTACAATGGTTGTGGCTAAAATAACCGAAAACACATGACATGCAAATGATTGTTAGTTTTGTTTGATGTACACAATTTAAAAAAAATGTATTAAATGATCTACAAATTATCTACTTATAATTTAATATTAAATTGTTATTCTAAGAGTTTGGGGACATGGATTATTTCCCAGAGTTACTTCTATTATAACTAATTAGATTAATTGGAAACATTACAGTTTGTGGTATGATAACATTTGCCAGTAAATTTGCAGAAGAAGAAAGAAGAAAAACAAATACATTGATTAAGTTATGGTCTTCTATCAGGTCATAATTGCCTCACATATGTGTTTGATCTCCTGTGTCAAAATGTTGTTTCAACATCTATTTTTTCCAAGTTTTCCTACAATTGGTTGCATATTCCTTTATATATTTGTGTCAATCAAATGAGTACACATGATACCCAGAGCTAGTGTCTCAGCATAGGTAAAAACGATTTATAATGCACAGAGGGGAAATAAAAAAAGTGGCAATGGCATTTTAACTTGTAAAAAAAGAATAGACTAATGAATTAAGTCAGAGTTGTTTTCATCTCATTAAGAGTGTTGTACAATTAATGTGAGAATCTTAAAATGTTTAGAACATATACATTGCAGTGTGATGCTACCTCCACCAGATGTCAGTATAGTTACACAATAGTAGTCGTCCCATATATGCTATAGATTTACATTTGTGCTAGAGGGAGTATTACAATATTGTTGTGCTCTTCTAAGAAGTGATGGCTTGGACTTGGCCTCTCCTAAAGGCATGCTCACTTCAAAGTGTTAAACTGGAAATATGTAAACCCCAGGGCCAATATTCTTTTATTAATTTTATACAAACTGCATCCTCAGCATTTATCAGATTACTTTTTGATGTTTTCTCAGTCTTCTGAAGATCTTGCTTATTTTTAGCTATCTGTAATTTTGTCATCTACACATGCCTATAGACTTACTAATAGTGAAACGTCTTAACAAGTATTTTATGATGTGATCAAAAGCATCATCATGAATAGAACTTGCAGCGCAGTGAATCAGAATATATAGAAACTAGTATCTGTGTCGTTATTGGTTAATATACTGCATATAATTGATAATGTTAACAATGACCTTAAAGTAGTTGAAAGTCAGTTGCTAATAGCTCATTAGTTTGAATGGGTGGGTGCTAAATGGAGTGAAGTCACAGTAGTGCGCCCGGTTGAGGGGTGCCACTCAGGCAAATAATAAACAATAAACTTGAAAGATGTTCCTCTATGGTTTTATAACCTTTTGTAAAACAGCACAATTTCCTACATTAAAAAATATATATTTCTGCTACTCTGAACACAGCCAGAGATAAAAAAACATAATGTTATTTGCTAACAGGATATCCTTTGTCCAAATCCCCTGCAAATAAAACAGATTAAGAATTCTACAGAACACAATCCTTTCTCTTCTTTTTATTTATTTTATAACAAGCAGTTTAAAATGTATTTCAGTGCTGTATGATCCTCCATTTAATAATGAGAATCCAATTTTGTAGGAGTAGATTTAAATTGCTAGTGTTGAGGGGGATCAAGCACTGTAAGGCTTTTCCAGAATTGAAAAAAATATATCTTTAAAAATACAAATAAGGAATTCCTATGTTTCAGATAATTCTACACTTTCATAGACATAAATACTACATACCGATAGCAAGAAGAGGAAATGTACATTTCCTTGTGAAAATATCCTTTCTCACATCAGTGCCCAAAACCCATGCCAAGTAAACACGAAGTAAGGTCTCCGTGGCTGCTTTGAGAAATTGGTCTCTGGAGAGAGTTTTTTAGGTTAATTTATTCTTTATCGGGCTGGCAGTGTGTGTACTGTCACCACTTTTAAACTCAGGGCAGGGCACATTTTGTGTGCAAGACTGCCTAAGATAACTTCTTATGGCTCCTTGGGATGGCTGCTGCCGGTTGATTCTGGCAGGCCATGAGACAACCCGTTTATTTGTTTGTTTGTCCCGTGAGTTTCTGGCTGGCCGTTCAGGGCTCTGTTTGGCCCCAGTCCCTGTTGGGCTTCTATTCCTGAAGCCCAAGTGGCTCTTAATGAAGCTGGTAGGGTTGGCATGGTCCCTCAGCAAACCCAGGCCTGATCAGACCCTTCTTCTTCTGCCTTGGCAGCCACACTCCATTTGCTCCCTCTGGCTTCCTAATTTAGTAACGGTGGGTAAAAATATGCGCTAACGAACAAGGTCTGGTATGTCAGGCTGGCGTCCAGAGAAGAGGGAGAGAGGGGAGGGGGTGAGGAGACGAGTGTGTGTGTGTGTGTGTGTGTGTGTGTGTGTGTGTGTGTGTGTGTGTGTGTGTGTGTGTGTGTGTGTGTGTGTGTGTGTGCTGTTTTCACAGCAGGCACCCAGTGACAGGGGTATAGTCACTCAGACCTCTCTGACATCTGTGTGTTTGCGAATATGTGTAGACATTCAAGGGAGTGTGTGGGGGTGGACGATGAGAGGTGGAGGGTGAGCACTTAACATTTTCTAACTCTTGCCAAACTCTGTTCAAACACTTCTAATCATTCTTCTGTTTTATTCTAACCAATGAGGCAGCGAGGTAAATGCTATAAATCAGTCACATTTTCAGTGAAAGTTAAAATCGAATGGCCTCCCGCACACTGTCTGTGAGTCTGGCATAAGGAGGCTAGTATCTGTAAGTGACATGCTTTTAGAGTTGTATTCTAGGCAGCGTATCACGGAAGGTGGTGTTTGTGGTTATATTTAGCCTAACTGTTAAATCTTCTCAATGAAACATTTAAGTGGAAGAGCAGCAGCAGTTGGTCAGGCTAGCATACGCATTTTTCCAATATCCCCTCCATAGACCAGCACATATTTTTTTAAATAACTTTTGGATTGATGTGTTGTTTCATTATTTAGACATTGCATTATGTACATTACAATATGTTTATACAGACCCATAAACTGAGCAATAATTCAAATATTTTGTTGTTTTGGGAGTGATTTGTGGCTGGTGTATATCCTCCAACAACATAACATGCTTTTTCTTTTCAACTATTTTTAATTATTCAGGATGACCCATCCAATGTATGAGCACTACACCAAATGCTTTCTGGTTAAGAGCTTCAGAGAATCCAGATCATATTCCAGGTATTATAAAAAAAACTATGAAACCTATAAACTGTAACCCCTCTGTGAACATTTTGGCTTTTATGCATATGGTTTGAACCTGATGTATTGCTCGCGTCTTCAAGGGGATTCTGGAACTGAAGGGTAACCCTTTTACATGCGAGCCACAGAGCTTCCTGGTTCAACTGTATACTGTAGGTTTAGCTACAAATCATGCAGGCAGCGGAAGAAAAACATGTTTTTAATGTATGTTTACACTTTAGACCTCAGACTTCCAAAGTTCTCCATTTTCCATGGACCTGCTCCAACAAACATCAACAGTGAATAACTTTATTGAGGCCATTTCCGTGAAAAGATACAGAAGTGGTGCCAGTGAATTTTGTTGTTATCATACAATGGCTCTAAAAATGTTATTTAGAAAAAAATAGTTTTCTTACTAAGATGATAGGCCTGCCTAGAAAGGATAAAGTGTTTGCTTAAAAATAAAATGTAATAATATTATGTTAATAAGTGTTTTTATTTATGGTTTTATATCTTAAAGCACCCACTTCCAAGGCCTGTACTTGCAATTACTCCATTTTCATCTGTCAGGACACTCGACCATAGAATTCTGCCCTCAAGCACTTTAACACTTGCCCTTCCTGTTCACAGTTTAAGAGGCTCATGGCAACACTGTCAACTTCGCTTGTAAACCAAAGGCTTTAGATGAAAACAGAAAACCTCCTTGTCTGTTGCAAGGCAGTAAGAGAAGCTTTAAAAAAGCTGAATAACAGCCATGTACTCTTACTGTTTCTTTACATCAACTAATCAAACAAGTAATAATCACATGATTAATTACAAAAAACCTGTGTCTGGCATCGAGTTGCACAGAGACTTCAGGTGAATTCCCTCAAGTTGTGCGCTGAACTTTTGCCACGACAGTGTGGTCACAGACAGGCTGGGTAACAGACCACACTTTCGACATGCAGCTTGAATCCGCCACCAGTTTATACATCGGCCTTACCTGATAAGAAATTAAAAGATATGTACAACACAACTTACATTTTCATTTTTTGATCTAATAGCCATGCATCATTATATGCGTTATGTACATTATATAATTCATATTGTTTCAGATTGATAGGAGTCTTAATAAGTTAATGAAGCATATCATACAGTTGTAAAACTATCTCTATGGAGCTATTTTAGCAATTTCATAGAGAGACCATTTGTGTGTTTGATTGAGAAAATATAGTCCACTTAGTTGAAGGCTAACAAGGCAATTGAAACTAGATATTATTACTTCTTAATGAACAAATTTACCGAGCTAAATGCTTTACGTGTTAATACAGGACTGTTCCAGTGTTGCATAACAGGAAAACAGTTTAATGATGCTCTTCTCCAGTAAACAAACGAACTCTGCCCTTTTTGGAGTCGTTTTAGCTTGACAAATATGTCACAGTTATTTGTTGAAACTACGAAATAGCATCTACCTTTTATACAGCTGTCCCCACTTCCTGTGCTAGTTAAACCACATAAACCCACCCCCTAGCAATGAACAGCAGTCGTGCTAAGTAGGAACAGAAAGAGTAGAATATTCTATGTTAAACATTTTTATAGTCTCTAAGATAAATACAAAACATAGCTATTTATCCCAGCTACTGGAGCTGTTCTGGAGTTAATACCTGTATGGTGCTCTGTGATACAGTGCATATATTTGCAAATCGAATCCCACATTTTGTGAGAATTGGCACAATTAAAGCTTAGTTGCACAAGTTGTTAACCACTTTAACAGTTGTAAGAGTTGTTCTATCCTGAATCGCAGAGAATATGCCAATGTCTTCACAGCTGCTGCACTTCAGA